CTCATGTGTCTTCCAGCAACCCGGGATTTGATCTGATGATTGTAGTGTTCTAGGCACAACAATTACTAGACGCTACACCTTCTTGCTTACTGTTCCGCCACGCACGCATAAACATAATATATCCCTTTTGCCCTCATATACATCCATGAGTTTCGTCTTCCACTCATAACTTCTTGTCCCCTTCCGTTTCTTTGGGGTAATCAGTAGCATGCGTTCATACGATAAATACGCGATGGCCTCAATCGCAGAGATGAGCTTCTCCGCACGTGTCTTATCACAGACCACCAGCGACAGAAGGAATAATATTATCACTGTGCGTGTGGCGCGCCTTACCGGCCTGTCGAATAGGTCGATTGGTATTAGGATAGGCTGCCAAGTGAATTATATAATAATCTGTAGACTCAATGGATAGGGCTTTTAGACGTCGTAGAAGTTCCTTTTAAGGCTCTTTGTATCATCGGAGCTGCTGCTGTCCCAAATGGTCCCACTTCCGCGGCTCACTTCAACAAACATTAACAACATTTGGATGATACCTCTGGCGGGTTCACCTGTGCAAAGTTACCTGTGTTTCCTATTACGGAGCTGTCGGACTTCCACATTGAACCTTATCCCCTGGCTGCATACCCATCTTCTCCTTTCCCGCCACTCGAAAACTCTCGGTCAGGATCTCTCCTGGGGGCACGGTTTCTCCCCCCTCCCCCCAATTTGATTAGTCTCCCACATTTTCACCTATCCGCGCATTAGAAAATTCGTCTAAACGTGGTTTCGTCGTTCCGATTGACGACCTAATGTTTGAACCCCATACAGTTTGCACATCGGAGGCAATGTGACGAGTATTGTCATTCCCTCCATGTATTCATTCTTCCATATCGGATTAAATAATGCGGTAGAAACCCAAGGAACCAATCCTATACGAAGTCACTTAAGTACATACCCGATTCGTTTATGGACATCTCCGGTGTCCTGTGTTGTGTGTTTTATTCCTTGGTGCAGACTGCTTACTGGTTTTACATGACTGTGCTTCCCAGTAAAATTATCTATCACGAGATCCGCTTACTAATATATTATGCTGCTTAGAACCTAGGAAAACGTGAAATAACCTAGGTCATGTTTGGCAGATAAATGTCCTAAGACATATGGAGCTCCAAATAGCCCACATAAAAAAAGATATATTTTATCAGGTCGTCAGAGGTTCATCTAACTAGGCTAAAAAGGCAAGTTATCTTTAAGGTACCTTGCAGTTAAGTGTAATTTACTGACTTGAGCAGTAACATACGAGCACAGGCGTCTCCTATTTCCTCTGAAATAATGAGCTTTAATTAGGTATCGAGGAGGCCATTCTCAACCAAACGCCCCATGAACACTATCTAATTAAGGAACCATGTGCTGGCAGGATCTCGGTTTCAGTTGAAGGTTAGTTCCATTATTTTAAGTCACGTTTACTCTACATGTCTACAGTCGAGTGAACCAGTCGCCCTACAGACGTGAAAGTGCGTTTTTAATAATCCGTTGCTTTCTCGGTGCACTTTCCGTTTTAAAAAATCACCCACAAATGGTTTATTTATTATTCCTATCTCCAAATTTTCATGACTCCCCTTGCATTTGTGTCGATTCACTTACTCCCCTTATTTCTCCCTACCAGTTTACCTACTCTGATAATCGATTATATTATAATAAACCGCTTGCTACGGCTATTTCGTTTATGTTCCCATGACGATTCGTAACGTCAACTTCCCCTCCTAAGTCCAATGTACTTAGTTGCTTTTACCCAAATTAATAGTGCTCCAAACACTTAATAATAATAATTTCAATTTTAGCACCCAGAGAGCACTGTAAAATCAGAAAATACTGAGGTAAAATAGAGATACTATGCAAGTTGGTGCTTCGAGAGAGGAGCCGGATATACAGCAACAATTCATTACATGGTATGCAGATTATTCCTTATCCGCCGGCTATTCGTTCTTTGAAAAAAGAGTTATTGCTCTTTAGAGAATAATTGTGGACTAAGCATAAGGCAATAAAATAAAACTTTCACAACGAAAGTGGGGGCACAGTCCAGTGAGCCCCCACTTTCAAAAAGAGGG